TTGTAAGCTGATGGCTAAACCGATTATTCACGGATCCAAGGTAATGCTCTGTATTTGGTGGGACTAGCTCGATGTAGTATTTTATGAGCTGTTAAAACCGTCTGAAGCAATCACAGGTGATCTATATCGAAGGCAATTAATGCGTTTGAGCCGAACATTGAAAGAAAAACGGCCGCAATACCTCGAAAGACATGAAAAAGTTATTTTGCAACATAACAATGCTCGGCTTCATGTTGTAAAATTTGTCAAAACATACTTGGAAACGTTGAAATGGAAAGTCTTACCCCACCCGTTATATTCTTCAGACGTTGCTCCCTCTGACTATTACTCATTTTGATCGATTGCACACGGCCTGGCGAACCAGCACTTTCGGTTTTATAAACAAGCCCAAAATTGGATCGATTAATGGATTGTTTCAAAAGATTATCAGTTCTTTCAACGCTAGATCCGATTGTTGATGGAAAGGTGAAAGAAGGTAGTGGGAAACAATGGACAATACTTTAAAACCTAAATGTAAAATCAGTTTCTTACAATAAAGGTTAGAATTTAAAATAAAAATTGCGGAAGCAAAGTTGTATTCCATAATAAAATGAATCAAAATAATCCTTTTGTTTATACAGAAAATTCTTTTTCCTTTTTATGTTCTATGGAAATTGGATTTACACAATTTTCAAAATAAATGGTCCATATTGCGCAATGATATTTATTAAAATTTTTCGAGCAAAATTCGTTCGCAAAAAAATTCGAATGTGCGTGGTAGAAAATTTCTTGCTAAGCGCGAATAAATCCGATCGAATGCAACCCACTGATCGGTGGAACGTAGGAAATGAGGGGAAAGGGGTGGTTAGAGGCGCGTTTCAATCGTTTTCCAATAATTAATTCTATCGGTGATGGGAAAGTTTTGGAGAAACGAATGAGACACGATCTAACGTAACAACGAGTGATCACAACAAAAATCATCCTAACGAATAATCAATGAAGTAAAGTTAATTAGTTTCTTCTTCTCCTTCTTCTTCTTTTCCCAACCCCTTTCAATTCTTCGACAGTTTTGGAAGATATTTAAACTTGTGAATTCATCTTTTGAACTATTGTAACTTGAAACTTCTTGTACAGTTTCTATCAAAATTACGAAACTTTAATTTTCAAATAATAATAATAATAATAATAATAATAATCATCATCATCATTCTCATATTTAAATTTCAGTGTATGCTTTGGAGTTGGTATATGTCAAACGATACTCAATTTTACGTACTTGGTATAATACTTCTTTTGTTATCAGTGAAGTATAAAAAAATGGCAATCAGTTTGGTGATATTTCTGATAATATCTTCTTGCTTCACCACCTTCTCCGTAGCTTATACGAATGATTATGTTGCAAGGTAAATTAAAAAAATTATGTCACGTTTTATTTTTTTTCTCTCCTACCTTTCGATCGAATGTTTTTTTGTTCAATGGATTTAGTTATTCCTAAATGTAGGATTCAAGAACCGTTTGCACTGTTCGATGAACTCTACGATAAACCATGGTTAAGAGCTGGACCATATTTCATCGGTACGATTACGGGTTATTTATTGTTCAAGACTAACTGCAAAATCGAATTATCTTTGGTAAGTAAAATGGACATTAATAAAATTATTATTATTAATTTTTTTATAATACAATAATAATAAAAAGTAAAAATAGTCGAGTTTCAAAGTCACCCACATCATAATATCGTGAATTCTAATTGAAGACAATTCTATAGGAACTATTATTAAAAAAAAAAAAAAAAAAAAAAAAAAAGTAGAAAATAGGACATTGGTAGACAGAATATTATCGGGACATGTATTATGTCCCGTATGAATGGCGTATGCCTCTCTTCTAAGAGGACGACGGCACCAAACGTGGCCTCAATTTACCAAATCGATCTCTCATATTCCAACGACAATTATTTTCTATTCCATTTTGTTATAACATAAAATATTATAAAATATTATCTATGATCTTCTCAAATTTTTCTTTCACATTTCAATTTTTTAATCCATCCGAGTTGATGTAACCCATCAAACATTTCTCATTTAAATGAATGAAAAAACAAATGAAAGAAATAAAAATAAATAATAATATTATTATTATTATTATTATTATTATTATTATTATTATTTTATTTTCAGTATATTAAGTTGACAGGTTGGTTGCTGTCAGGATTGATAATGTTCTCAGTTGTGTACGGCTTATATCCAGCTAATTTAACGGTAGCGGTGAGTTCCATTTACGCGGCCTTGGGTCACACTGCTTGGGCACTTGCAGTGTCCTTCATCGTGATACAGTGTTGTACAGGCTCAGCTAAAATGATAGACAATCTTCTGTCCCTGAGGTTGATGTATCCTCTATCGCGACTAACTTATTGCGCTTATTTGATTCACCCTGTCATCATGATGATCACCGCTGGTCAAATGGATGGCCCGTTGCACCTTCATAATGGGATTGTGGTAAGACTTGTCTCATTATTTTTACATTTTTCTTTTATCTTTTTTCTTTTTTTAACCTAACTTAAGATATTTCTAAGAACAAATTTTCAGTTAAACCTTTTTATTTAATATAAATCTAATTTTTATTATTATAAAATTATATAAAATTATAGAATTATTGTTACGTTTTGATAGAAATTATGTTTCACCAGTTAACTGTGCATTGACGAGTATACTCGTCATGGAGAAGTGTATTGACGAGTATACTTGTTATGGAGAAGTAGCATGATTTTGTATATCGACGAGTATACTCGTCATGGAGATATATATTGACGAGTATACACGTCACGCGTATAATCAATCAACGCGCCTAATTGTCAATTTTACAAAATAAACCCATCTTTTTGATCCAATATTTTAGCAGTGCAACTTGCTTTGTGATTAACGAGTATACACGTCATGGAGAAATATATTATTGACGTGCATACTCGTCATTGAGAAATGTATTGACGAGTATACTCGTCATGCGTATAAAGTAGTGACCATTGGCCATTTCAATTGTAATTTTTGAAAAAAACAAAATATATTCTCAAATTTCAAGATATTTCAAGCGGAACTTACTTTGTGATTGACGAGTATACACGTCATGACTTGATTCTGGCGACAGTTAACTGGTTAAAATCTTTCAGAGTTTTTGTATGGGATGAAACTAAAGAAAATGAAAATCTTTTGATGTAAAAAAAAAAGAGCATATTAAATTCAGGCAAGGTTATACGTTTGTGCTTTTATAGCTCATCGTTTACTTTGGCAACCTTGTCGCATCCTACCTCGTGTCATTTTGCATTTCCATCGCTTTGGAGGCACCCGTTGTAAGCCTTTTGAAGATTTTCTTTACTGGAAAAAGACGGATGAGATAGAAGAGGGTCACATACAAATTTTATTGGTCGTCGGTCCTCGTCAGCTGTGACATTTGGTACGTTATTAACATATTATCGTCGAGAAAGTCGTGAGCTTGACTCACGCGTGTAGCGAGCAAAAATGAGCGAAATATGAAAGCAGTGCACTTTTTAGAAAACATGTTGTATCTTCACATCTAGTAGTAGGATTTCAATGAAATTTGAAAAATAAGTATCAAATAGTATTTCGAAGATGTAGAAAACTTAAACTCAATGCTATCAAAATCAATCAACTGAATTTATGCTACTTTGTAAGCACGAAACTTGCAGTATCAAAATAGCACATTTCATCAAATTAATAGTTTTTCTTAAAAATTAATAAATTTAGGACTAAACACTGGTCAGGCTTTACAAAAAAAAAAACAACCAAAAACATCATTCCTGCTCAAAAATTAGTGACAATGAAAAAAAAACTAGCATTAGTAAGTGTTTTACTGAAACTTTGCTTACGTTCTGCATAAAACGTATTAATACGTGACCCGCCGACCAGTGCCAGTCTGTGGAATGGGTAGAAAAACCCGATCCTCCTATAGTGTGTTAACGAACAAAAGAAAAACATAATATTATAATAAAAAAATATAACTATTCTGTTGTTTATCAATTCATTTCAATTTTTCAGAATCAGAAGAAGAAAAAGATGAAATAAAAAAAAGTGAACTGACGTATACTTTAACCCTTTGATTGCTATGGGCGAATATATGCGTCCAATAGAATTTCTTTTTCTTTTATTTTATTGAAATAAACTAAACATTAACAGATAAATCATTCCGTCTCAATGCGATTGCAATCGTCAGACGTGTTCCACATTCAAAGGGTTAAACGAAAGAAAGAAAATAAAAAATATTTCCGTCAGATGTTACAAAATAAACGTATCAAACGTTTATCGTTGAAACGTAAATGTCGAATGAACAGTTTTTATTTTCTACGTCAACCGTGTATGTATCGTTAGCCCTTCGACACTCGTAAAAAGGGTTGTTGAGTTTCCAATGTATCCTGTAAATAATATATATATATATTTTTTTTATATATATCACAAGTTTATAACTGTAAAATAAATATGTCAAATGATCTGGAAGTATGAGTGAATAATTTTGGAGAACATAATAAAACGATAACAAATAAAAAAAGGGTGAGAAAGAGAGAAAAAGAAATATTATTGCATTCTTCCCTATAACCCATTCGTTATTGTGTATCGATAAAAATAAAATGAAAGGAAGTTATATATATATATACTGTGACAAACAAGTCGATTCTTCGGAAAAGAACTACTCTCTTTTTTTCTTTTCTTTCTTTTTTTTATTTTTATACCCCATCCTGTGTGTTTCGTTATTATATCTGTCGATAAAATATAAACGATCTAGAAGAAGAAACATGTATAGGATACGTTCAATTAATACTTTTCGTTTATTTTAAAAGGTTAAAAGTGAAATTCATTTATCGACAGGTTAAAGTTTATTTCTTTGAAAAATTGAAAAAACATGGATAGCAAATAATAGACGAAATAGAATAGAAATGGAAATGTTTCTTTTTTTTTTTTTTATGTACACTGGGATACGTTCGAATTGGATTTTTCACCCAAGAAATGGGATATGTAATAAAAAGGTTTTTTTTTCTTTTTTATTGAATTCCATTTTTAAAATTTGAAGATTAATTTTTACAGCATTTTTTTTTTTTTATAGATCATTCGTATAGTCTCAGATAAAAATGTTTCATCATTGAGGATTACTTGTGATATAGATGAATAAGATTTTATTAAATAATAAGATGGTTATTTCGTAAGAGATATACTTACACTTATCATTGTAACATACTTTTGAACTTATAAATCATGTTAATGCATTACATCAGAATAAATTATAATTCTCGGTTGAGAATAAATTATATATTCCTATATTAATAAAAAAACATGTGTGCATATCACACAAGTTAGAAGTGAAACCTTGAAATAAACAAGTTTCGAGAATAATTTATTATATAATACTATTATAATATTATTTGTACTTTTAATTTATAATTATTTATTTAATTATTAATTTAATTATAAAAATGCGCGCCTGTTAGTATGCAATCCTCCAGACACACTTTGAAAATGTTGTTTGCGAGCGTCATCTACTGAGACGACATTTTTTTGCAATTAAAACTGTTTATACACTTATGTATGACGGGTTGCCTAATTTTCGGGAAGAACAAAATTTCGTCTCGACAGATGGTGCTCGCAAGCAACATTTTCAAAGTTTGTCTGGAGGGTTGCATTCATACAGGCGCGCATTTTTATAATAATTACAAAGAAAGTAAATAATAAAACACTTTTAAAAATGTTTGCAAATCAAATATTTTAATAAATAATGATAAAAATTGAACTCTAATATTGTAATTAATTTATGCATATTTTTAGAATAATATTTAGTATTTTATATGAAATAAAAGAAAAAATCATGCATGCAGTTGCACACAAACACACACATATACAACGCTAAATAGCCAGGAGTGTGGATTTCGAAGCAGCGCATAAAGAGGAGACCAAGATAATAAGAAACAAATGAATACTACTGTCTTCTATCTCATTCTCTCGAAGGTTCAATCCTATGTTTGTCTCTCTTTCGAAATATTTCGTCGCATTCTTCGTTACAGCGTTTCATAATTTTCAAATTATTCCAATTCCACAGAAATTTTTTTCATTTGAAAAATCATTGAGATTATGTACGTTGGATAATCCTGTTGAAATATTTTTAATAATTATGTATATATATATATATATATATATATATATATATATATTTAAATATTATATACGTGTAAACATACTCAAAAAAACGTATAACATTTATTGAAAATTGATTTTCGATGCTCCGACTATACACACACGAATATTTTACGTTCTTATATTTTTATTTGGTCTTATATATATATATATATCACATTTTATGTATATTTTCTACGAGACAAACGTACCTGGAATGTAGCAACAGAACCAAACGATATTCTACGTCGATTCACATCGACGCTTATCGAAGATGGAAATATTGGTATATTTCATACTCATATATAAATATGTATATATATATTTATTTATTCTGGAGACAGAATATTTTCAGAGAAATAAAATATTGCTTCATGAAATGTCAGAATTTCGTTATTTTTATACGTAAGATTAAACGTCAAACTTTATAATTAATTTTCTTTTTCATTTTAAAAATAACAAAAAAACGAATATAAAATTTCATCTACTATTATATCATGCAATCAACCTGCTACATGTTTTTTTAATCATATTTATATATACATGTATATATATATATATATATATGGATCCTTGAGTGACGCGTTGTTTTCTTATATCCTTGACAATTTACTTGTCAAATAATGAGTATACATAAATGTATCGGATTTTCTGACAAGATAATAGACTAACTCAGGAAGAAAGTAAATAAAAATCGGAAATGAGGACTATCGATTTTACGTCTTCCTCTTCATTTTAAACGTCCAAATGAAAATTGATTTTTATAATATTTCCTCTCTCGAAGTTTTATAATAAAAAAAGAAAAAAGAAGTAAAATGTTTCCATAGATATTTTTCAAGATCGAATAATGATATTCTATCTCTCGACACGGTTACACCGTTCTTAGATTATTTTTCTTATCTTTTTCTTCTTTTTCTTCGTTCTTTTTTCTTTTCTTTTGTATTCTTATGAAATTACGTTTCGATTCCAACTTAATGTAGATTTTCATGGCGTTCGTTCAAACGGAAATCCGATATCAGAAATTGACGTAAACTTTACAATTGGCTCACTTTTTTATCTATTTGTTTATCTTTTTCTATCTCTTTCTATTTATCTAATTATTCCAATTTGATGTCTTTCATTATTACATTCGCACGAATTATTATTATTCCCATTAAATTTCATTGACGAAATTAACGATCTCCCACAGACAACACATCATTTAAATAATGTGATGTTACCATTTAGTTAGGTTCAAATTCAATCATTCTTCATTAATTCAATTCAATTATTATTTATATTAATTATACAACTTTGCTCCCGCAAGTTTCCTATAAATGGCATTAGTGGCAAGTAGACGTCGAATACATACATTATAAACAGCTTCCACAATATTCTTTAGCATCTCGTGAACATAACCTGATAGCACCAGTAATTGATTTGTGTTTACATCCAAATTAGAAATGTCAGTATTTGAGCCGAATCCTTCTCATTTACTGAAGGTTTTCATTTATTTTTTTAATATGAAAAAATCCGCGGCTGAGGTTCACCGAATGCTCTCAGACACTTATGGTGAGGCTGCTATGAGTGAAAGAACATGTCGTGAGTGCTTTCAATGTTTCAAGAGCGGTGATTTCCGCGTAAAAAATCCAGCATAGTGGTAGAAGACCAAAAGTTTTTGAAGATGAGGAATTAGAGCATTTGCTCGATGAAGACTTATGTCAAAGTTAAGAGGAATTGGTAGGATTATTGGGAGTGAGTCAACAAACAGTTTCAAAACGTCTAAACAGTCTGGGAATGATCCAGAAGCAAGGATACTGGGTGCCATACGAGTTAAAGCCGAGAGATGTTAAACGGCGTTTCTGTATCTGTGAACAACTGCTTAAAAAAAAAAAACGGAAAGGGTTTCTGCATAGCAATGTAACTGATGATTAAAAATAGGCTTTTTACAATAACCTCAAAATCATGGGGTTATCCCGGCTACGTTTGTAAGCTGATGGCTAAACCGATTATTCACGGATCCAAGGTAATGCTCTGTATTTGGTGGGACTAGCTCGATGTAGTATTTTATGAGCTGTTAAAACTGTCTGAAACAATCACAGGGGATCTTTATCGAAGGCAATTAATGCGTTTGAGCCGAACATTGAAAAAAATGGTTGCAATACCTCGAAATACACGATACAGTTATTTTGCAACATGACAATGCTTGGCCTCATGTTGTAAAAGTTTTCAAAACATACTTGAAAACATTGAAATGGGAAATCTAACCTACCCTCCGTATTCTTCAGACGT